AAAGAGCGATTCAATCCGTCAACCTCGGATAAACCCCAGGCACCAAAAAATGTCCCTCCTGACGTAAGAACCAGCCAAATATCTCATATTTGCACTAATATTCACTTACTTGGCAAAAGACGAATGCATTGAAAATTAAAGTATTCTTCATTTGTATGGTATGGGCTTTAGAATCCTGATTATTACGCAGAATACTTTCACCGCCGAAGTTAAGAACGAGAAGAACAGCGACTTGATACAGTGCCTGCAATGGCAAATTAAAATATCATTAACTTAACTGCCCTATGCTTCTCCAATTCAATGACGATCTTAACAAGTCTCTATAGAATAAAATATATTTTACCTGTACGGTCAAGTTCCTCCACATGACATTTGTTATAAGAGGTTCCCTGAAAGCCAAAATATAAGATCGTAGTGAAAGCATGCACAGAAATATTAATTCAATGCCCAATTTTGTCTTCAAGTGAGTATTTTCAAACTTGATTTTGAATAACCTTGCTTTTGTAAAATTGATTTTAATTAAAATTTAGTTTGAATTTAAGTGAAGTAGTGATTTGTGCATGAAAATTTAAGAAATTGCAATAGAAATTAGTATAAAATTCTCAATGTACTACAAAAATTACATGTTTTTTTTTTATTTCTAGTCAAGCATATTTTTGTTTACAAATTTAATTGTGATTAGTTACAAACATGCTAAAAAAATTATATTATCCCGTTTATGATACATTAAAGTGATCCTCCCCAAAACATGCAACTAATCAACCATATATAGCTCAGTGTGTGCCCCTAGAGTTATAGAGAACATGCGACCATTTTAAATCCAGTTAAGCAAAAAAATTGTTAAAGGTAGAAATATTTAGACAAAATGTTATTCTGTGAAAGAAAATGCAATTTACACACAGGAAGACACAAGGATGCACAGTGCAAACACGGAGGGGTTTGCTTTCTTCCCACTTTTTCTCGTGCTTTTTGGAAAGAAAGGTGCAAGCAATTAATGCTTAAGGAATGTTTCCTTGCCTTGTCGGTCTAAGCAAATGTATATCACTTACGAAATATGCAAATGTACCTTTTTATATGTCCTCATGCAAGGATAACTTTTCTGCCTCAATAATTTTTTCTCTATTTCTTTCATAAAAAAATTAAAAACTTGCTCAATTCATAGTAACACAAAAGGTCACAAAAACAGAAAAACTCATTCTTCAAATATCCCTGTAGTGCATATATCAATTTTTAGCTTTAAAAAACATAAACAACAAAAAATGATGTCATCATAGTACCCAACAAAGAAAAAGGATGTGCAAAACCAGCACCATGTCAAACCTATTTGTTTTAAATTTAATTATACAGAAGAAAAGGAAAGAACTGACACTGTTTAACAGCAAAAGCAGCAACTGATAGATATGTCTCACATGCATGTGACTAGGATCAAGTATTGACCACGAGTAGATGTGTGCTTGCATTTACATGCCAGCACCACGGGTTTAAACGTATTAAATGTTAAGCTGTATAGTAAGGGAGTCAATCAAACCAAACCTTCGGCCAACTGGTGCTCTGTGCATAAGGCTGTCTGTTGGTGCTTCTGTAGCCAGTGCAAGAGCCCCAAGTGTGTCCATGATAAGGTTGACCCACAGAAGCTGTACCAAGGGCATGTACATTAGAAACCAATATGTAAGACGGCTAAATGTGACTATCTGTAATTTGAATCATACATGCAACTGCAAATAATGAAATATTAAACAAAAGAGCAGAAAGAGGGCAGGGTACCTGTACAGCATTTAAAGGAACATCACCAGAAGATATTGCTGCCACAACATTTATCACCAGAGCAGCAACATTAACTGTGAGCTGGAACTGAATAAATTTCTGAATATTAGCATATACAGAACGCCCCCAGCGAACAACCTACACAAAGAGAACTACGCATCTTAGATTATTAACAGATCGGACCAATCCACTGAATACTTGTGTCTTTATGAAATAAATTTATCTCTTCTCAAGACAAGGTGAAACCAAAATCAAATCACAACTAGTCCTTCACTAA